ATTCCTGGGTTGGTGGGCATTTAGGTTGTTTCCGCATTTTGGCAATTGTAAATTGAACTGTGATAAACAGTCTAGTGCAAATGTCCTTATGATAGAAGGATTTTTTTTCTTCTGGGTAAGTGCCCAGTAATGCGATTGCAGGATCAAATGGGAGGTCTACTTTGAGTTCTTGGAGGATTCTTCATACTTCCTTCCAAAAAGGTTGTATTACTCTGGAGTCTCACCAGCAGTGTAAAAGTGTTCCCTTCTCTCCACATGCATGCCAGTGTCTGCAGCTTTGAGACTTGGTAATGTGGGGCATTCTCCCTGGGGTAGGTGATATCTCAGAATAGTTTTGATTTGCATTTCTCTGATGTGTAAGGATGATGAGCATTTTTTTCATATGTTTATTAGCCATTGTAGGTCTTTTTTTTTTTTTTTTAGAGACAGAGTTTCACTTTATTGCCCATGGTAGAGTATGATGGCATCACACAGCTCACAGCAAACTCCAACTCCTGGGCTTAGGTGATTTCCTTGCCTCAGCCTCACAAGTAGCTGAGACTACAGGTGCCCACCACAATGCCCAGCTATTTTTTTGTTGCAGTTTGGCCGGAGCCAGGTTTGAACCTGCTACCCTCATTAGAGAAGATTCTATTCATGTCTCTTCCCAGTGATATAAGGGATTGTTAATTAATTTGAGTTCTCCATAGACCCTAGTTATCAAGTTTTTGTCTGATTCATAATATGCAAACATCTTTTCCCATTCTGGAGGTTGTTCATTTGCTTTGGTTGTTGTTTCCTTACCTGTACAGAAGCTTTTTAGTTTAAGTCCAATTTGTTTAATTTTGTTCTTATTGCAATTGCCATAAAAGTCTATATAAAATCTTTCCCCAGGCCCATATCTTCAAGTGTTTTTCCAACACTTTCTTCCAGGATTTTTACTGTTTCGTGCCTTAGATTTAAATCTTTCATCTATCGTGAATCAATTTTTGTAAGTGGTAAGAAATGTGGTTTCAGTCTTTTACATGTGGTTATCTAGTTTTCCAACACTATTTATTGAATAGGAATTCTTTTCTCCTATATATGTTCTTGTTTGGTTTATCAAAGGTCAGGTGGCTGTAAGAGGTTAGTTTCATCTCATGGTTTTCTATTCAGTTACAAATGTTGATGTCTCTATTTTTGTGCCAATATCATGTTGTTTTCAACACTATGGCCTTGTAGTGTAGCCAAAAGTCTGAGAAGGTGATACCCCCAGCTTTGTTTTTATTACTAAAAATTGCCTTGGCTATATGGGGATTCTTCTGGTTCCATACCAAATGAAGGATTATTTTTTCCAAATCTTGAAAGTATGATGACGGTATTTTAATGGGGATTGCATTGAATCTGTGTATTGCTTTGGGAAGTATAGACATTTTGACAATGTTGATTCTTCCTAGTCATTAGCATGGTGTGTTCTTTCATTTGTTAATATCTTCTGCTATTTCTTTTCTTAGGGTTTCATAACTTTCTTTGCAGAAGGCCTTCACCTCTTTTGTTAGGTATATTCCAAGGTATTTTATTTTATTTCAAGCTGCTGTGAAGGGAATTGTGACCTTGATTAACTTCGCATCTTGGCTGTTATTGGCATATACAAAGGCTACTGGTTTGTGGACATTGATTTTATAACCTGAGACATTACTGTATTTTTTGATCACTGCCAGGAGTCTTGTAGTTGAGTCTTTGGGATTCTCTAAGTATGAGGTCATATCATTGTGAAAGAGGGAAAGTTTGACCTCCTCTGCTCCCAGTTGGATGACCTTTATTTCCTTCTCTTGCCTGAGTATATTGGCTAGAACTCCCAGCACTATGTTGAACAGTAGTGGTAATAGAGGACAACCTTGTCTGGTTCCAGTTCAAAGTGGAAAAGCTTTCAGTTTTACTCCATTCAGTATAATATTAGCTGTGGGTTTGTAGTAGATGGCTTCAATCACATTAAGAAATGTGCCACCTATGACTACATTCTTCAATGTTCTAATTAGAAAAGGATGCTGAATTTTATGGAATGCTTTTTCTGCATCTATTGAGAGGATCGTATGGTCTTTGTTTTTGCTTCGGTTGATGTGGTAAATTACGTTTATGAACTTGCATATGTTAAACCAGTCTTGCATTCCTGGGATGAAACCTACTTGATCATGATAAATGAGTTTTGCATGTATATTCATTAGTGAAATTAGTCTGAAGTTCTCTTTTTTAGTTGGGTCTTTTCCTGGTTTTGGTATCAGTGTGATGTTTCCTTGATAGAATGTGTTGGGGGGAAGATTCCTTCCTTTTCAATTTTTGGAATAATTTCTGCAATATGGGTATAAGCTCTTCTTTGAAGGTTTAATAGAATTCTGGTGTGAAACCATCTGGACTAGTGCATTTTTTATTGGGAGATCTTTTTATTGTTTCTTCAATCTCAGATCTTGAAATCAGTATGTTTAAGAGATCTATCTCTTCTTGATTAAGTCTAAGAAGAGGGTATGATTCCAGGTATTGATCCATTTCTTCCACATTGTCAAACTCTGGGCATAGAGTTTCTGGTAATTACTAAGAGATCATCTTTTGTACCTCTGTCGTATCTGTTGTTATTTCCCCTTTTTAATTTCTGATTGAGGTTATTAGAGAGTTTACTTTTCTGTTTCTAGTTAATCTGACCAAAGGTTTATCAATTTTATTTATTTTTTTGAAAAACCAACTTTTTGTTCTGTTAATTTTCTGAATGATTCTTTTGTTTTCAATTTCATTAATCTCTGATTTGATTTTGGTTCTTTCTTTTCTTCTGCTGGGTTTGGGATTAGATTGTTCTTCTTTTTACAGTTCCATAAGACGGATCATGTGTTTGTTGATGCACTCTCTGTTTTTTGAATGGAGGAATCTAATGCAATAAATTTCCATCTTAATACTGCTTTTGCTATATCCCACGGGTTTTGGTAACTCGTGTCTTCATTGTTATTATATTTGAGGAATTTAATGATTTCCTATTTTATCTCTTCCTGAACTAAAGTATCATTCAGTATAACATTGTTTAATTTCCAAGTCTTTGTGTGGGGATAAACATTTTTGTTGCAGTTGAGCTCTACCTTATTGCCTTGTGGTCTGAGAAGATACAAGGTATAATTTTCTATTCAATTTTACTGAGGTTTGATTTGTATCCTAGGATGTGTGTATTCATGGAGTATGTACCATAGACTGATGAGAACAGTGTATATTCCTTAGTTTTGGGATGATGTGTTCTGTACATGTCTTTTAGTCCCATTTATTCTAGGGTCACAGTTAAGTCCTTTGTATCTTTGTTTAGTTTCTACTTAGAGCAGCAGTTCTCAACCTGTGGGTCACAATACCTTTTTAACAATGAAAATACATTGTGCCATTAGGAAGGTTGAGAACCACTGATTTAGAGGATCTGTCCAGTTCTGTCAGAAGCGTGTTAAAGTCCCCAACTATTATGGAATTATGGGTTATCATATTGTGCAGACCCATCAAAGTCTGTTTCATAAGACTTGGAACATCTAAGTTGGGTGCATAAATATTTAAATTTGAAGTGTCTTCTTGTATTATTCTTTTGACCAGTACAAAGTGTCCATTATTGTCTTTCTTTAGTTATTTTAAATCTGTGTGTATCTGAAAATAAGATTGCAATCTCTCTTTTCTTCTGACTTT